TATAATTTCGTTTTAAATTGAAAATTCAAAAATGGACGAAATGCTTATTGAAAAAGTTAGGGAATATAATGTTCTATATGACCATGGGTCATCTGATTACCGAGATCAACATATTCGGCAAAATGCATGGGAAGAAATTGGTCAAGATCTAAAAATATCAGGTATGTTTTATTTTCTAAACAAAACTTTCTAACAAAATGTCTAAATTCAAAATTTTAACAAAATAATATAATATAAATCGTTAAAATAAACACTGTACCTACTGTATACAACAGTAATAATTTTAATAGTTTCATATGAGAGTATAATATGTTTTTACTGTCCCACTACAACCCTTCAAAATATGGCACTGTAATTATTTGTATGCGTTATTTTTTCTTTATTTCTCGTTCCTTTGGTTTGGTATTTCCATGATGATTCGATATCATAATTATTACTAATAATATTATAGCGCTATTTTTTTTACTTTAATGTTACAACACAATAATAATTAAATAATAGCATTTTGACGCCATATCTTTGAACCATGACACGTATGTAAATAACGATGGAGTGGGACAGTACTGCTTATCGCCTGTGAGCGTCGACTGAATAAAAATAACCAGATTGTAGAAAAGTGACAATAGTGTATTTCTAAACGTGATATCACGGCTGATCACGGTTGTGACACGCCAACGTGATTTCACGTGACGTGACAGTAGTGTGTTTCTACCTTAGTAACAAACAAAATAAATAAATAAACATTATTTATTAAATAATTAATTTTTATTTTGTTTGTTATTGAAATTTGAGGAACTAATGTTTCTACATAGATAATAACTAGAGTAAGGACTTTCATGCACTAAAAAATCATCAAATATGCATTTAAAAACATACACTTATGCATCAAAAAATTAAAAATATGCTGTTAAATATACCCTTAAAAATATTAATTTTATTATTATTCACTATAAGTAAATTGATTTGAATTTTTTTTGAGTGTCGGATCCCATTCTTCTTCATTATTATCCGTTGAAAATACAGATTCACCAAACACGATTACAAAATTACACAAACAATAAGCTTTTGTCGAATTTTTCTTTTAGCATATTACTCACGAACATTATATACAAATTAAACTCGCGGAACTTACACACGCGTGGCAAATCTACTAGAACTAATCTAATCCACCCACTTACTATAGATAGTTACTTGATACTATAAAATTTATCTCTATCGTCTTTATAAGTTTATAACAAATTTTTGATCTTGATTCATGGAAAATATTCATCAAAGTGCTTGATTTTCGATAAATCATCAAAATATGCTCTTCCAATCAAAATTATGACCCTTAAACCAAAAAATGTCCAAATATTCAAAAATATGTACTAAAAACTTTTAGCTTTTGGTCACAAACGTTGTGAAAGGTATTGTGTACTTACTCTGCATACGTTTAACTAAACCAGAAAAAACATGCAAATGCATGAAAGTCCTTGCTCTAATAATAACAAACAATTAAGAGGACCCCACACCCGCATATGTTGTCTCCGTCGTACAAACGGGTAACATAGCTGTGTTAGGTCCTCTTAACACTAAAATTAAATCAAATCAAATGACAAGCTCTCTTCTGTGAAGTCTTCTTCACAGTTCGATCCTGGTGAGTGGGTGGACACCAAATTATTCAAAACTAAAGTTTTGTATGCAGAAGCAAATGCATGGCAATTTGGATTTTGTGAACCAATACTTCTAACTGCACCAAAGAAGCATTCTAACGGGTCCTGATTGAGATGCCGAGGAAGAAAGGAACGTATAACACTCAGATCTAACACCTTGGACAGTGTTTGAAAAGCTAAAAAAAACAAATTTTAATGTTCAGTATTATAAAAATTATAAAAAAATATCATACATCGTATAGTTGTCATCCAGTTTTTGATCGTTGGAACTGACTTTTTTCTACCATTCTCAAGTACAAAGCTCATTGTACTTAGCACTTTTAAACTTTCGGCCCAAACAGTATGATGGATAGAATTTTTTTTGACAGCAGTACGGTATATTTTTCCATCAGTTACTTTATCAAAACTTCCATTTAGTGAGTCGAAAAGTTTATCAAAAAAAAGGCATATAAAGGCTGTGTTGGCATCTGTGCCAATGATATACGAGCTAAAAACATTTTAGTTATAAGCCATTAATTCACATTTCATTGTATTTTAAAATCTTACATGCAAGAAAATTCATAGTAGAAGAAACTCGTAGCGAAAAAACTTATGTAGCATATTTCCCTTTTCATTTTTGTAATTTTGTCTCGTACTATATGCTGATCTGTTAGTCGCGGTAACATCTTGCAATCTGGAACAGCACTATCCATGTTGTATAGATCTTCAAGATGTGACCATTTTGCATATTTTGTTTTGTTATCAATTTTATAAGATACATTTTTAGTTAGTAAATTATTCCTAATGCATTTCATTAAGTGCGGGACATCATTTATATAAACCAATTTCAGCCTTTGTTTATCATGTAATTCAACTTCATAAAATTCATCGTGATATGCTGAGATGTTTTTACATTATAAAGTCGAGTTTCATTGTTCAAAATATTTATTGCACCAACATTTGCAGATCCCTGGTTACTAATAGTTGCTACAACACGAAGGCCTGTCAAATGAACAGCCTCAATCACCTATTTTCAAAAAAATAATAATTAGTAATAAATTATAAATATCACATTAGTGAAATTAAATTACTTTTTTTAATTGACAAATAATTTCAGGTTGGTGGCTCCTTTGCAAAATGTGTACATAATTGGCTGTTTGAATTTCGTTTTTATTCCCCGTACCATGAAGACTAATGCGTAATCAGCAATATTTTGATTTTTACTATGTCCTGTATTCACAAACCCATCAATTTCATCGGTCACTGTATTATAGGTCAAACCACTTGACAAACACACCTCGTCAAACAAAATTGAACAATACCTGAAACAAATATTTGTATGTGAAGTAAATAAAATAAAATCTATAATCAATTTAGCTTTTTATCTTTCTGATGGCTTGAGCTTTTGAACATTATCTTTAAGTACTTTCATCATCAATGGACATATTCCAGGTGAAATTCTAACACTACAATGAATGTGATTCAATGTCCGTTTGCTTGGTAAGGTAAAAAGTTTTGCCAACATTCGATAACATTTTGGTGAACGTTTATACAATGATAAACTTAACATCTGTTCATCCAAATTGAATATACGTCCTCTGCTACACTTTTTGGTCTCTCTAACTTGAAGTTGCATGAACAATGAAGCAGCAGCAGTAGTTTTTTGTGACAGCCTTGAAACTAAATATTTATCATTGAACTTTTCAGCATCTCTAAGTCTTGTTTTAAATAAATTGTTTCGGTTTGTATTGCGTCGAAGTTGTTTTAGGAGCAGCTTTGTAACTTTATACAATTTTCTACAATTTGGTGTCAAACGACTACAATTGGCAACCCCAATTTGTTTCAAAATATCTAGAATAAAAACCAAAATTTAGATAAATACTCAATTAAAAAAAAAAATCAATCTCAAGAAATCAAAATCAATTTTTTAATTTTCTATTAATTCTGAAAACAATAATAAATAAAAATCATAAACACCAGTTCCAGTTTTCGGTTTTCTTGCAGTTGTTTTAGTATGCTAACCATGCAACTTTTAAGCATTTTCAGAATTGCTTACTTCTACATTCTCTGCTGTTAATACGAAAAGCAATAAATAATCAAGCTTAATAGCAATAGGCTTATTAAAAAGCAACAAATGTAAGAAATACAAAGGGCTAATTTACTTAATTTGCAATCATAAATAAACTTCATACCAATCTGGTCTGGTTCTACTGAAGATGCATCTAAAACATTAAACCCAGACATCATGGAATCGTTCATTGAATGTGAACAGACTACTAAAGAAAAAATTAGACCTATATTTAGAAATATTAGATAAATAAGCATATAAATTTGTCTTTACCATCATTAAAATCTGGTGTATTATCAACATCATTTGAAGTACATGTAGGTGTTCTATGACTGTGATTAAAAACTGGTGTATTATTAACATCGTTTGAAGTACAAGTAGGTTTACTATGATTATGATGAACTAGTAAAAGAACAAAACATGTAATTAAGCACCTAAAATACCTATTAGATTAATAAACTTATAAAATTGGCAACATTTATATGGTTAGAAATATTAAGCAGACTTAGGAAACTAAGCATTTAAATAATGCTCCTGCTGCTGATATTAATAATGGTTATTTTATTTTATATTAACTTACATGGCAAGTTAAGCGAAGGATATGAGTTGGCATTCAGTCTCTTGGTTCCGGGGCTTGAACCAATCAGCAGTAAAGTGTACAGCACAAATCACTTTCTTCGCATACACATTGTAAAAATTTTGTTTTTCCAGTCCGACAATTTTCTTCCAATCTTGTCATGTTGGTTTTCGGATTAGGAAAACGATGACAGACTACACCTATTTACATAAATAATACCATATTTTTGGACATGTAATATGAAATTTAAAACACCATGGATTATTATAGAATTAATTTATTACTAATAAACAGGATTGGGTATGTATAATACGTTAATGTATAAAATGTATACTATAGTCTGTCCCACGAGAGAATAATCACTTTTCGCGCATCACGACTGACGACTTCAGCGACGCCGAAGCCCAATTTCCCCCTCCAAGCGTCCAAATGATCACGGCGACAACGCCCGAGGCCGAAGTCGTGAGTCGGAAACAACCGATACCCCTTCTTTCAAAGTTCACGCGCGCAGTGCGTATACACCAGTCACCTGTGACCTGACGGCAGTCGCCCGACGGCCGCGGCCTGGCAGATGCAACTCTATAGCGCATTTATGGACAGTGGTAGTTACGACATCGGGCACGCAGAGCGCTCTTGTCTCCGACACATTTCCCCTACCACTGCCCTACCATTACCATTGAATACGAATACCGCGCCGCCGACCACCGTGTCGTATATAGTCGTACAACTTTGAACTTACCGTCGTCTGTCTCGTCTCGTTCTCACGTGCGTTTCAAGTTTCAAGTTTTCAACGGTATTTTGAATTTTGTTGAGTTTTTGCTTTAAAAAACTGTAATTTGTTGTGTTTTGCTGTTGATATTATTGTTATAGAACATACTGTAATGCCTAGACACGCATATAAGTGTTGTATTGCTCAATGCAGCTCTAAAGGTTCGTATATTTTTGATATATTATAATATAATTTATATTTATTGTTTATTCAACTATTAGCTGATTTGCTTATAGGGCTGTTCTTTATTTGATCAGTACAAAAGATTAAAATTTCATTTTCTACTATATGTGTGCAAATCATAAAATTAAAATACCTACTGTGGTGCATCACAAAATAACTATTCTACGATCAAGCGTTTTACTGTATTTGTTTTGAACAATGTAAATCGAACTAAACTTTTTGTACAAATATCCAACTTTGTGATATACTCATATGTGTTAATAGTGTTGAAAACTCGTAATACGAGTATTACGTTCAATGATCAATTGAGGTGTTTCTATGCAAAACGTGTTATCTCCATTTTTAATAAAATCGAGTTATACATCGATTCTTATGGAAAAAATGGCGAGAAATCGATTAAAACCGTTATTTTTTGTCAAAACGTACTATTTCCCAGCTGAAATCATGCTTAAACTATTACTTTTTTTTCAAAACGTGTTATTTCCAATTGATTTTTTTTCTAAAACGTACTATGTCCACTTTCCTTCAAAACGTGCTATTTCCTGTACTAAATCATAGGACATACTTCTCATTTTTTTCCAAAACGTAGTATATCCATAATTTTTTGTCATAACGTGTTATTTCCGTTTTACATCAAAACGTGTTATTACACATGTTATTATTATAGCATTTAAACTACATTTAATTCAAAAGGTGCTAGTGCCAGTATCGTTGACTCCTTTAAAATTAAAATTATTTCATTAATTTGCATTAAAATATGATGTGGTTTAGTACAAAACCAACAATTATAAATAGCAAAATAATATGCAAGAAAAAAAAAAAAAAATTATATGATAAGCCCATCTAATTTTAGTAATTTTTGAAATTTACACATCATTTCTAACTTGTCTGGTTCGTTTGCAACAGAAAATCGGTGTTCCTGAAAAAAACAGTTTTTGGAAATAACACGTTTTGCATAGAAACACCTCAATTTAAGCACACAAATATGTCATAGCCCATAGGTATTTCACAAAACTTAAAAAAAAGTTCCGGACAATTTATGTTTCGTATTTAGTACTCATCTATAATATATATATTCGGGAATACCCATAATTAAGATATGGTTTAAACTTATCGTTTCGATTAGGTACATATTATTATGTATTGTGATATTATAGTGTTCATTAATGAGTAAGTTAAAAAAAAACGTCATTTCGTTTAATCCGGAGAGAGTTTGGTCCCATCTAGTCCGGATTAGCGGGACTCAACTGTATATAATACTTGAATTATAGTCCAATTAATTATTATTTAATTTAACCATTTGTAGGTACAGTATCCCACAGATTTCCTAATCCTAGGACAAATATGGAAACTTTTCTTAAGTGGGTCGAGATAATTGGAGGAGATCTTAGAACTACCGATCCATCATTAGTCTATTACAAAAAACGAGTTTGCTCACTCCATTTTGTAAACGATGATATAAGTCCAGGGACCAATAGCAAATTAAAAGCTATTGCTTTTCCTACTTTACATATACCTGGTAAGTTCATCACTCAAAAAATTGTAATTGTATTTTTAATCATCATTTTTTTTTTTCATATATTTTACATTATTTAATTCCAATTTTGACTTTCAGTTCCTTGTACAGCAGTTTTGGCTATGACTAGTCAAACTTGTACACCAGCACCTCTGACCGAATCATCATCGAATCAAAATGAATCATTTGGTATGTTATTCTGTATTCAATTTTTAGTTCATATATTTATTTTTATTTGTTTTTCAGAGGAATGTTTTTTGGAAGGAATATCTGTATTGCCGGATGATTCACCTATTCGTTGTATGTATTTCAGTTATTAATCTTAAACTTAAGGATGGCTGTTACAGTGTTACTTCATTAATCTTTTTGTTTCTTGATACATTTTATCACTTTTTTTTTCTTGCTGATATTTAATTAATAAATCAAATAGCGGCATGGTCAATTTTTATTTTTGCTTAATAATTGCTTATTCTTGCTTATATTTTAATATTTAGTGCATGATAATGATGGACAAGTTATGGATTACAATAGTAAAAAGTCTACAAAAATAACCAAACCTAGAACTAGTTAATCTTTTATATTCTTCTTATTTCTTTTATGAGGATGTGACACTTGTATAATAATAAGTTTATTTTTTTAGTTTAGTTTTAGTTTAGTTTATTAGGCAGCATAGTAAAACTATGAAACACATCTGTTTAATTGTTATGTTAAATTTAAAGTTTATACATCTGTTAATAAAATTAAAATTAAATATTTCTTATTTAAGCTTAACTGTTTAAAATCTGCAGGTATCACATCAATAATATAAAAAAAGATAATTGCGGCTTAATGCAATACATTTTGTAATTATTTAAAATAATTTGATTTTTCTAAAGTAGGGATTTTGGCAAAAATTGGTGTCCATAAAGCTGCAAAATTGACTCCACGGTGCAAATCAATGTATGCTGACAGTATAATTTTGAAAAGAAAGCTCCAATACGAATCTTCAAAAGCTAAAACATTCAAGCAAAAATTAAGGGCTGAAAATCTCTCTGAACGTTATATCAATGATAAGTTGTCTGACAAACTATCACCAGCTGCTACTTTGTTTACTAATTTGCAAATTCGAGAAACTCAAAAAAAGAAGAAAGGAAGAAGATTCACGCTGGATGAAAAAATACTAAGTTTGTCACTGTATAAGAAGAGTCCAAAATCCTATAAGTTATTGTCATCATTGTTTACTTTACCATGCCGTCGATCATTAACTACTTTGCTGCATCAAGTTAAAATCGAACCAGGTTTGTCTCCAGTTTTAATGCAAGTGTTAAAAGAAAAAGTAAATAAGTTAAAGGCCAATGAGACATTTTGTACATTAATGTTTGACGAGGTGAACCTAAGTACAGAACTACATTATAATGCAGCTTCAGGAAAAATTGATGGTTTTGAAAATGATGGGTATGCAACGACTCTGGAATTTGCTGACCATGCACTCGTATTCATGGTGAAAGGAATTACCAAAAAATATAAGCAGCCGATTGCTTATACTTTTATAAAAGGATCGACAAATAAATTTCAGTTGTGCGCTTTGATAAAAAAGGTTGTGACCAGCATTCAAAAAACTGGTTTGAAAATAATTGCTACGATATGCGATCAAGGGGCTAGCAATGAAGGTGCAATCAAGTTATTGAATGAAGAAACTAAAGCTTACTGTTTAAAAAACAATAAAAAGTACAGTGAAGATTTTTATGAAATTGAATGTGATGGAAATGAAAGAATAAAGATTATTCATCTGTTCGACCCTCCCCATCTACTGAAAGGCATCAGAAATAATCTACTACAAAAAGATTTAATATTTATGACAAACAATGAGAAAAAAGTAGCTCAATGGCAACACCTGGTAGACCTCTACAAACTAGACAGCAGCATCGAGGAGGTAAAAATGTTACCAAGGTTTACTGATTATCACATTATTCCTGGCAAAATCAAAAAAATGAAAGTGAAAATAGCAGCACAGGTTTTAAGTCAACGCGTTTCAGCACTGATGAGATTCTTATCCGGTAAATGTTAATATGTTCTACCATCTTTTTTTGATGTTTTGTTTGTAATATAGGTACTATAATTTGAATGTATGGTTTCAGCCAAAGGAATACTTGATCCTAGTTCTCAAGACACAGCTGATGCTTGTCTTTTTTTCGACAAACTTTTTGATTCTGTCAATGGAAATTTCCATAAAATTGTTGATGGCAAAATTTATCGTTCAGCATTAAAAAAGGGAAGCCCTCACCATGAATTTTGGCAAAGTGCTTTGAAGATACTTAATTCTATGGTGTTTGTTGATTCGGTTACAAAAAAAAAGTCTTCTGCGCCACAACCAAGGACCTTACAAAACTGGATAAAAACCATCAGAGGTATACATATTTTTACATATTATACAGTGTGATAATAACTTAGCATATTCTCAATACATTTGAGTTATGTTTAACATTAAGCAGAAGTTTATAATTATACACATTTTCAAATAATTAAACTAATTTTGTGACAGTTAAATTGCCGCATGCTCATAATAACTTTTTTTTAATGGCATGGATTACTTGGCACAATGTATACCATTTGAACAATTTTTAAGATAAATTAGGATTTATGAATGAAAATGTCTATGTTTGTTTTTAATTTGTTAGAAATAGTAATAAACTAAAAATAAAAATACTAAATACTGTAGTTGATATAACTCAGCCATTTTTAAATTTAAAAAAAAATCAACTACTGATACTCATTAAAAAAATACAGAGAAAAATAGTTTGAAGACAAGAGTAGTCTATTCCGTTAAAAAAAATTGCGCGTTTGCACAAATTTAACTGTCACAAAATTAGTTTAATTATTTGAAAATATGTACAATTTATGTGCAAAAAAAAAAACCAAACTCAAATATATTGAGTATAATATGCTAAGTTATTAAGTGTATCCACTTATCGTAATCACACTGTATAGTAAAATTGAAGCTAAAAAAAATTTAAATAATTATTAGAATGGAGAATTTTGATGATATTCCGATGTAATTGTTTTTTCTAGGTTTTCAAAACATATACAAAGTAATGGCTGAATACGGTGTACATTCCTTATTGCTTCGCAACTTCAACCAAGATTCAATCGAAAATTTCTTTGGTGCGATTCGGAGTCTTGGTTATCGTTCCAATAATCCATCAACTCAGGGGTTTTCTTCAGCATACAAAACTTTGATGTTAAATAATTTAACAACATCGCACTCGATTGGAAGCAATTGTGAAGAAGACTTCTCAGAAGGTGCTCTGGCTTCATATAATTTACTGTTTTCTAAGATAAATAATGATGATACACAAAACATATATCGTGAACCTAGAGTTGCTGATGGGTTAGTAAAAAATAAGTCTGTATGTACACCTGAGCTATCATACTTAAAGTTTCAAACCCAAAATTATATTGCTGGATTTATAATTAAAAAATTAAATACAATTCTGTTTAAAAATTGTAAGATATGTATACGTCAGATTTGTACTGATAGCGTTAGTAAATCTCATGATCTCGTGATAGCAAGAGAATACAATGAACAACTTAACCTCAAGTATCCAAATGTTAGTTTTTGTCGTTTAATACAGGGTATAACTGATCTTATATATTTACAACTTCCTTCAATATGTCATCGGTTAGATTATAAGTTAGTTTTAATTTCTAAAATTCAAGAACAATTTAATGTAAACATTATAAACTGTCCAATTCACTCTGAACATTTTGAAAACAAAATTTTAAATTTTTCCATTAAATTATTAACAAACCACTGGTGTGTGGAAGTTAATCGTATATTAAATGGTAAAAAGAAAATAAATTCTAACGAAAAAGACAACATTAAAATAGCAGCAGCTAATAGGTATAATAAATTCTCAAAGTTTTAAAGTAAAACAATATTTCAATTTGCTTAAACTAAATTGTGATACCCACATGTGCATTTTTACGAATATTAAGGGGATTCGATTTGTAGTGCTACTGTCTTTGTCTAATGCACATGAAACATAGGAATTTAGACCTGTTTTTGCCAAATAATTGTCATTTAATCTATAATGTTTATCGTTTAATAATATTTAAATTTTCATGTATTATTCTTGTTTATATTATGATAATTTTATAGTAAGTATAATAATTAATAATTAATATTTTATTTATTATTTATTTTTTACAATATTTTATTATTTTACTATTTTATGTTATTGTACGATATCCGTATCAACTTATTGTTAGAAACTTATATATTTACTTGTACTATTGGGCAATTTGCCCGTTTTATTCATTGAATAAACAATATTATTATTATTATTATATTCATTGTTTTTATTTATTTTATGCTGTTAAATATAACAATATTATAGTACAATTAAATGTTTTATTTTAATTTCTGTTGTTTTCCAAACACCTATTAATTAACAATAATAAAGCGGCAAAGAAAAAAAGAATTTCAATTGATAAATTCAAAAAAAAGCGGGATTATATTCTGGGAGCCGCCGCCCTGCCAGCTCTGTAGTTCTTACATCAGACACCGGGAGTGCTGTTTTTCAATGCTCCAATTTTTAACACCGCAGTTGCCTATCTATTTAATATACTTATCTATGGTGGCTGCCAGCGACTAACTGTTGCCGATTTTTTGCCTAGCACGGCTTATCTGTATATTATAAAATCAATGCTTATACCTATGTCTTCTTTATTGAATAATAAAAAATATATATAATATTATATTAACAAAAAAATATTAAATTGTTTAAATTACTTACCTTAAACATACAGCTAATCTCTGTTCAGATGGTACTGATGCCTGAAATTGTGTGTTTTGCTTTTTAATGTCGTCCTTTATCAAATTATGTAAATCAGTAAATTGACCATAAGACATACGAAAGTATTGAAGAAACTTTTCCGGGTCATTTATTAACTGTGGAAATAAGTTAATAAATACGCCTTTTTCATTCCTTTCCTTGTTTATTGGGTGAACCCAAAATCTACGGTTCTTATAGGTTTGATCTAAGATATATGTTGCTACAACCGTTTCTTCCATTTCTTCTATCCAATCACTGTCAGATGAACTTGATGAAGAATCCATAATCCACTGCATTTAATGCAGTCACAAACTTCTTTTGCTAGCAAAATGGTACTGACTGACAAAAATTAGCGTGCAAAGTGTGTAACCTAAATTATTTTAGCATACTATGCTATCACACGCGTTGTATTAATGTATACAGCGCCGCTTAACACGTTTTACAACGGCGTGGTATGTAAAGGCATGTTAAAGCGTGTGAATAGTGTGTCCGGGCCATTACGGTACTTATCCACCATACGAATAGAGTGTTCGTACGTTTTATTATCATTATCCATCTGATTTTATTGTTTTAATCAAAACGTATTTACACCTACCAAACAATAAACGTTAATTAAAAGTTGAAAAGTTTAAATTTGAATCATTTTTTTCAATTCAATTATTTATTCGTTATTTATTTACCTACTTGTAGTGTAAACCCAAATTTAAACGATGGCTTTTCAAGAATTTGAACAAATGTTAATGTTACAGCAATTAGA